TTAACCCTTTGATATAAAAACATTGCAGACCAAAGCCCAGTTTCATTTTTTCCAAGTTATAATATGAATACATATGAAGACATCTTTTTACATTGCAGATGAGGCAAATGCAAAGGATGTAGTGTGAGTGGTACTTGTAGCATCTTTACTATGTACAATCTTGGGCTCTAGTAAATGTTATTCCTTTACCTTCACCATAGAATGGGGCCATGGTGGTTCTGACTGGGATATTTCTTGTGTTTGTCCTCAATTTCTAATACCTGTGTAGAAATAGGAAGAGACATGTTTACTTAAACTAGATTTCTTGCTTTGATGACTTAGTCACTTGATCTTTTTTTTTTTTTTTTTTCATTTAAGATAAAATGTTGATTCTATCATTACACAATTTGATATTTTAATATTCAACAGCAAACTTTAAAAAACTTAATTTTTAAATTCAAGGTCTATATAATCACATGTGATTTGATTTTATTTAAATGGTTTTAGAACCAAAACATTGGTTTTATATATCTGATCCATGCTTAGAAACTTTAGATTTAGGAAGTAGTTGCTCCATGTGGTTTTTAAACCAATTAAAGGTGTTGGGTTTTCCAGGCCAGAATCGCACACAGTAGGAGCCACGATGAAAAGCATGAGCTGGATGCCTCATTTTGCAGCTTGGCCAATATTGCTGCCGGAAAATATTATAAGGTTCTTTATCTTGATAATGTTTTTGATCTCATCAAATTTGTTTTGCTTTAAAAAAAAAAAAAAAGAAAATGAGAAAAATTAAAGGTAAATCAAGAAAGAACATACTTTGAAGTTGAAAATAAATTGTATTTTGAATTTTCCTTTTATTTTTGGAATTATCATCTGAACTAGTTACAAACCATGTTTTCTTACATATCCTTTCTCATTATGCTTTTGAAAGGACTGTGAAGGGATCATTCATGCATTCTTGATTCCATCCAGGATTGAAATAGACACCCACCTCTTACATAGAAATATTGACTACTAATCAGATTGTCGCTGTTACAACATGACTGTAGTGCACCAAGATGGAATTAGAAACTGTTATCAATAGACTGTTTTCTTGATCACTTTCCCCTTGAAGCCATTTATCTAAGGTCTAATAGCTGCCATCTTTATTTCTGAAATTTTATCTTGCTTGCTTCCCCCCCCCCCCCTGAGGTGTTTGACATGGAAATAACCAAAATGTTTTAAATGCTTAACTGTGTGTAACTGTTCTAAATACTTCATCTATTTACTCATTTATTTACCTCTCATAATAACTTGAAGAGCCCTGGCCACTTTGGCTCAGTGGATAGAGTGTGTGTGAACTGAAGGGTCTCGGGTTCGATTCAGGTCAAGGGATGTTCCTTGGTGGCGGGCACAACCCCGGTAAGGGGTGTGCAGGAGGAAGTTGATGTTTATCTCTGATCAATGTTTCTGATTCTCTATCCCTCTCCCTTCCTCTCTATAAAAAAATCAATAAAATATATTAAAAAAAAATTTCTGTTCCCTGAACAGATGAGGACACCAAAGTACAGAGAGGTTATGACACTTGCCCACAGTCTTGCCACTGATTGGTAGAAGCAGGAAGCTAACCGGGGTAATCTGCCACTAGAGCTCTGACTCTCCATCCCTTGCCCATATTGACAAGGATCGCTCACAGTGTGGGCTGCTGCATTCTTGTTTGGGGACGGGAATTACTATGGTGGATTCTCGGATGTTTTGAGATCTCTGTGAAAGGACAAAGCAGCTTGCTTTTCTTAGTCAAGGAACAAGGCTTGGGAAGCAAAGAACAGTCTAGAAAGAAATGGGCAGTCATTGGGGTTTGTTAGTTAAGAGTTCCCTAGGACAAAGCTTAAAGGGGAACTCAGAGAGCCTGTCGGGGGAGGAGAGAGAAGAAGGACATCTGTTGCTGGGTTCCTAAGCATCCTGATCTACTCATGTAACTCCCTCCCCCTTCTCAAGTCTGCTGTGGAGGAATTCCATCTGTATTGTACATAGAAACATAAAGGGATGTTATGTAGAACTAGAGGCCTGATGCACAGAATTTGTGAAAGGGGCTCAGCCCTCGCAGCTCCAGCTTTGTCTGGAAGGTCATCTGGCTCTCTGGTCTAATTAGCATATTATGCTTTTATTTATAGATGCTTTTTCCAAGTCTTGGGAGAGTGCCCACATACAGCTTGGCTTACAGTTATCCTACAGGTCTGCTTGCTTTCTTTGTCTTCTCATAATACAGGTGTTATGACTTCTCTACCCTTAGCCAGAGGTGTACGCTGTCAGATAAATGCCTGTGTTTGCACAGTGCCCTTGTCTCTGGAAGGCCAGTTAGCATTTCCATTCTCATGGGCTGGATTTGAATGATCATAATGGAAGCCATTTGCTGAGTTGCCTCATGAGTACCAGGCACATCCTCATTTAGTCCTTATAACAACCCCCTGGGCTAAGTATTAGTTCCCTGTAGTATAGATAAGAAAAATGGGTCTCAGGAAGGATGACTGATGGTCCCAGGCTTCACAGCTAATTGGTGAAGTCTAGTTCTGATGAAGCCTTTGTTTTTCTCCTTGACTGATAATTCACTTAGGAGGCTCTCTCTTCATCGTTCATCCTGACAGTAGGAAGCAGAGCCATTCTTAGGTTGATAGACTTTTCTAATCTCTTACATTGAAAGTACCTCTCAAGTAGAATGTGAGCAGGTCCCAAAATTTGACCCTTTTGTGGAAAGAGGTGTTAACCTACAAGTAGCATCCTTTTTCCACAGCATGATTTAGTTCCTCAAACAAACAAGATTTAGAAAATAAAAACAAAAAACCCCCAGTCTCTTGTGTGTGTGATTATATTTGTTGTTGTTGTTTTATAAAAGCCCCTCTGAGACTCGAGGCCCCTGTCTTCAGAATTGTTCGTGGTGTGAGGGTGTTGGTGAGTTGTTGGATCACATTGGCACCGAAAGTGACCTTCCTATTTGGAGACCTATTCGTGTGTGAGTGCTGCTTACTTTGATAGGTCCTTAGGCTCGGAGTTTCATGAATGGTGATTACCATAGTAAGTCATGGGGCCATGTGTAGACATGGGGCCATAATTGTTCTCTTAAAGAAAAAAAAAAATCTGACACTTGTTGAAAGGGTAAGGAAGACTTTATTCAGAACTGTTGTTACAGATACCAAGTGTCACAGTAGGGGAGAGAGAACAGGTTCAACTCTTCAACTCGAGCAGGTGGGGGGGGGGGCGTGTTGTGGGTGGAAAATTACTAAGAGAAGGTATCAAGGACAGGAGGATTCTTGGTGAAGGCAGGCCAAGAACTTATTCATCAAAGGTGGGAGATGAGGAATTTGATCAGATATCAGCTATCCAGGCTGCAGGTTCTCTCTAAATTGACTTGGCAAGATTCTTGTTAAGACGGGGGCTAAGTAGGCCCAGCAAAGAAGGGGAGCCAAGATAGAGGCCTCGTCAAGAAGAGGGCTCAGCCAAAACCGGTTTGGCTCAGTGGATAGAGTGTCAGTCTGTGGACTGAAAGGTCCCAGGTTTGATTCCGGTCAAGGGCATGTTCATTGGTGGCGGGCACATTCCCCGTGGGGGGTATGCAGGAGGCAGCTGGTCCATGTTTCTCTCTCATTGATGTTTCTAGCTCTCTATCCCTCTCCCTTCCTCTCTGTAAAAATCAATAAAATATATATAAAAAAAAAAGTGGAAAAAGAAGAAGAAGCGGGCTCAGAGGAGCCTGTGACGATTGGGCAGAGAGAGAGTCTTTGTCAGGCCACAGAGATGAATTAAATATGAAGGTTCGGGTATTGGACTCGAACCATTCAATGACATTCTGATAAATGTCTTCTCTCAGTTGCAAACTTCAGGGACCTTTCAGGCTTCTGCGATGCTGCCCTGCCAGATTGATTTATTTTAAATTTTATTTAACGAACTTAAACAGTGCTTAAGTGCCAGGCTCTGTTCTAAACCTTTTGCAAATATTAGCTTAATCCTTAAAACAACTCTATGAGGTGGCTGAACCTTTGCCATTCACCTTTTACAGATGAGAGTTAGGTAACTTGTCCAAGGTCATGTCAGTGGTGGGACTTGGATTTCAACCCAGGCAGCCTGGCTCCAGAGGCTGCATTCCTATTCGGTCTGTTAGGCTGCATTCCGGGCTTTTCCTCTGAGGGATTTACTTCTCATTATTCCGGACTTTTCTTTATTCTCTTCAGGAATAAAGAGTAATTCTTCTTCTGGAGATGGCCACACTCTGGGCTCTGTTCAGCTTGACGTCAGATTGGAGAGTATGTATAGTTGGAGGTCTCCTGTAAATCACAAGGTTATTTGTAAACAACCTTTCGGATGACCTTTCACCTTAGAACACATGTGTCAAACACAAGGCCCGCCGGCCAAATCCGTCCCGCCAGGCCTTGCAATGTGGCCCGCACCGCGCTGTCATCACTGCACTCCGCTGCGTTTCCATCACAATGACAGTTTATGACTGTTCAGTAAACCATTCGGCCCGCGATTTAGGCTGGATTTTAGATTTTGGCCCCTTCTCTGGTTGAGTTCGACACCCCTACCTTAGAAGAAGATCAAAACCAGTAATTCATTGGTAAAAATATATTCCCTACCTGCTTCCCAGTCTGTGTAGAATAACATCAATGACCCTTTCGAATCCAAGGTCGGCTGCCCCCCTCCCCTTTTTTTTTCCCCCATCAGCAACCTCAGTAGCATTCTTTATTTTTTTAAATAAATGCTCCATTTATAGGGAATGGATGATAATTCTTTAATAAAGTCTTTGGGAAATTGGCCTCCAAATAATACATGACTGGCACCAAAACTTTCTTAAAGGGGCAGATCTCCTTTGAGCAGAGCAGATCCAGTTCCTAAAATATTTCTTTAGTGGTCTCTTTAAATTCTGCTTGCATTTGTCAAGCTGGTATTTTTAAAGGCTCTCGTTAATATAGTATTAACATCAAAGTTCTATGTGGAAAATAGTATTCCATGGTACCTTCAACTTATGACTTTTAAACTTTTAATTACAGATCTGTCTATGGCCGTACAGAAATTTTCCCAGTCACTGCAAGACTTCCAGTTTGAATGTATTGGTGATGCTGAAACAGATGATGAAATTAGTATTGGTGAGTACTACTGTTCTTCAATATCCTAAGTATTAATTATTCTGAGTTTTTGTTGACAGTATTATAGATGTCCCCCAGTTCTCTCCTCCCCGACACTGTGTCTCCCTCCTCCTAGCCCCTGCCCCACCCCAGGCTTTCACCACACTATTGTCTGTGTCCATTGGTTATGCATATATGTATATGAGTTCTTTGGTTAATCTCTTCCCTTATCTCCTCCCCTCAACTCCCTCTCCCGACTCCTTTTTATTTCCTAAATAATAATTTTAAAAGCCCTACTTACTGATTTATTGAAACCAAACAGATTCACACACCCAAATATTAAACTTGTAAGACATTCTGACTTTGATAAAGATAAAGGACAATTTTTGGGGACCCTTATCAGTTAGTATATGCCAGATATTCAAGGCCAATCTGAGTGTGGGAATCCTAATCAGGATGTTGAAGGCCAAGTTGCCATAGGCAGGTGCAAGGACTAGATACACTGAGCAAGCGTGCCCTTCTGTAACCCAAAACTGATGTCACATATTTGGCAAGAAGCCTGTTTTGCCTAAGTTCGTATGAAGTGTGTTACTGGCCAGCCAGTGGGAGGCTGCTGTTACGTGAGTCTGTTTTACTAGGAGGGCTGCTGTGTTAGCAGTCCTTGCTTTCTTCTGGACTGCTTTGTCCAATGGCTCCTTGGACTGCAATAAAGACTCTCTTCTACGCCTACGATGTCTTCTCCGTCTAATACCTTGTGTCCAAGGAGGTCCAGTTCCTGGCAGGGGAACTGAGGCCTAGCAGTTGGCTTGGTGGAGCAGGGTTCAAGGAGTGAGGATTCCAACAATTGGTGCAGCCTACAGGGTCAAGGAGAAACTTACTCCCCATCAGTATTAGACATTGTTTTAAAACTGAGCTCTGTGGTTTCTTCCATAAGGAAATTACTTAAGTCATTCTATGATTCAGCTCTGCCCTTTGAGACGATGTGGATAACAATGCTCGTCTCTGCCTCAAAGTCAGTCATTCATTCAAATGAATACATCTTGGGTGACTCTTATTAAATAGACAGGGTACTGGTTTAAAGATTTCTTTTTTAACTTAATACAGATTTCTCTTTTATTATGAGTATATAGAGGAAAGAATCAGTCATGATGTATTACACCAGTATTATTACAGGACACAGGACATTACTGAGGATCAGGTGACTTGAACCCTAATCCAACTTTGCCACAGTAAAGTAGCAATCTGATCCTGGGGAAAGCATGCCCCTTCCTGAGTCACATGGTTTCATTTCCCACAGAGTGAATAGGTTGGGTAATGTGATCTCTGAATTTTTTTCTGTATCGGAGTTTACTGTTTGGAGATCAGGTTCAAGTAGCCTTCTTTCTCCCACATTTTAACAATCCCTCCATGTCAGTGTGTAGACATGGGGTCCATTTGTAGGCTAGATTAGAGACATGGCCACATAGTCAGAAGACTGGCCATGTACATTTTAGAGAATAATACTAGGTGTACTCATCTTCCAGGTATAAAAATAGAATATTTCATGTACCTAGAACAGTGACTTACAAGTTTTTATGTGTGTATAAAACACAAGGAGATCTTATTAAACGCAGATTCTGATTCAAAAGGTCCCAGGTTGGGTTCAGGCTCTGCATTTCCATCAGACTTGAAAGGGAGGCGGACGCCGCTGGTGCATGGACACGTCGAGTAGCAGAGATTTATGATCCCTGACATGCCTTTCCACAGTCACAGTCCTCTCTTTCCTCTGCTGTTTCTTCTGTAGTTTTCCCGGTTACACGCATTTTAAAATGATATGTTTTTATTACGTTTTAAACCTAAGTAGCAAGTCCCAGCGTATAAGAACAGGGCAATGTCATGTCCACGAAAGAAAGGCTTTCCGGAGATCAGCTGATGGAATGTGATTCATTGTGTGACTTCAGCTGCTTACATTCAGGAGAGTTTCTTTTGGAGAAGTCACTGGGCAGAGTGCAGAGTCCACAGACAAGCCCTCTCTACACGTGTGGCTTGCATCATACATACATCGTCACGGTCACGCCGGCAGTCTTTCAGAGGAGCTGTGCCAGGCACTCACTTTCTTAGCTGAGTGTTAGTGACTCTGAAGGGGTGTGGAGGTGGCTGGGCCTTTGGTATCAGAGATGGCTTCTTCTGCTGTCAGATCTCTAAGGAGAGGTGGCTGAGCCATGCCTGCTCTTGGCTGAGGGATACTCAGGAGCCTCTAGGAAGAAGGGAGAGGATCGACAGGGAAAAGACATCAGTGATCATACACCACTGACATTTGGAGCAAGAGTTGCCATTTCTTGTGCCACTTCTTGACACTTGTCCTAAATATCTATCCCCCAATGCAGGTGTTGTAACATACACCTAACCAGAAAAAAAGCCTAAATTATATTACTAAAATATTAACATACTAGCATTATTATGTAGGAAAAAAAAGAAAGAATACCCCTATGCTCACATAACTACAATTATTTTGACTTAGAAATGACACCTATAAATTCCAAGAAGGCAGAGAGTTCAGATCTCTTTTATTTTTAAAGAAAGAACAAAAAAACATTTTAGATTTAGCTCCTGACCTAGGGCCTAACTCATAGTAGCCCCTCTGTTAAATTGTTTAATAAATGGCAATTTTTCTTATAAAACTTATTTTTTTTCACTTATGTATATGCTTTTTAATAGCAATATATATATATTGTATATATGTATATATATAAATTTGTTTTATTTATAAAGAGGATTATAGTAATTACTTCTAAGTTTTTGTAGATATGATTTTTAAAAAATATATTTTATTGATTTTTTACAGAGAGGAAGGGAGAGGGATAGAGAGCTAGAAACGTCGATGAGAGAGAAACATCGACCAGCTGCCTCTTGCACAACCCCTACCGGGGATGTGCCCGCAACCAATGTACAATACATGCCCTTGACCAGAATCGAACCTGGGACCTTTCAGTCTGCAGATCGACGCTTGTAGATATGATTTTTAATAATTTCGTTGCTTTAAAATATTCCACCAGATTCATATACTTGAATTTATGAAGTCTCTAGAGTACATTCATGCTGACTCTAGTTGATCTTTTACTGGTTATCAGCAGTATAGTAAACATTTCTCTTATTTTTCATGGTGCTTCTTAGTAAAAACACCATCTTGAAGGCACACTAGTGACTGCAGAGGCAGGTTTTTTGTCACTATGCCATATGACCTTCCTGGCAGATGCCAAGTGATTTCCTCAGGTTGTGGTGGATTTGATATCTCCACATTGGTCTGTCTCTTTCCACTTTGGCTAATGGATGTTGTTGTGGCTCTTGCTGATTAGCTTGAAGGGTGGGAATTGATCAATAAAGAAAGGCTTATGATATGCAACGAATATTAAATTTAATGCTAATGGTTAGAGGGCTTTGAGGAGTTCACCCAAGGTGAATACTATATCGGAGTAGGTGTGATATTGTTTGCTACTTTTATATCAGGAGACGTTTTTAGTTCCAATTGCAGAGAGTCTGACTTAAACACCAATGTTTTGTTAGGAAAACCAAACTTAGAATAAACATTATTTCTGAAACAAGGAATGTAAAAATGTAGATATGTTCCCATGTCTTCTCCATCTAACACTTTTTATCCTTTTACTGAGCCCCACGTGTAGTCGGAACAGTTAAGAAAAAAAGTAACTATGTACAGAATAAAAAAATAGTAGGCTTTCAGGAATCATCCCTAACAGGAGGCTTATGTACCAAGGACAGGCATTCAGGAATGCATCGCTGGGACTAATGGGGGCTGGCGTGGTTGGAGTGCAAGAACCGTCCCATCCTCACCCCCTTTGCCACGCTCAGTTCTACATGGGAAAGGACAGAGCGCCAGTTGTCTGTAACATAGTTTGTTGAAGTCCCGGTTTCAGCTTCTTTATTCCTCTGATTTAATAAAAGAGGAATGAAGTAGGGACAGCTGCGACTCTTAGCTTTTTGTAATAGCCACGGCCCTCCCCGCCAGAGTCTTGAGACTTAACCAAGGACGTGACCACTAAATGTGACTTACCAGAAATGCTCGTTTTTTTGTAAGTGAGCAGTATCTGTAGCAAAATATCTCATAAAATCAAGACGTTTGCAGACTTTCTGTAAGTTATGGTGGTGGGAATGGATGGGAGGGCATTGGAAGGTGAGGAAGATGTCTGCTTTCCATGTGCTTACAGTGGAATAGGGTGGGAAACAGGTTTTGAACAAAGTCAGGGAAAGAAGGTGCTGTTTCTATGTCAGGATCATTACCTAATTAGTGGAAGCTGTTCCAGGACATTTTTGTAGACTGGCAGGCCTGTGTCTGGCCTGGAAATTGCCCCCACTCTTCAGCTGCCCCTTCCTGCTCCCACCATTCTGGCCTGTGCTTGTTGGCTTTTCGGTTTGTTTGTTTTGGTATCAGTGAGACGGTGTTGGCATGGAAGGAAGCAAAATGGGAATTGTGGTCTGGGACGCAGTGGGGAATTCCTGTGGCTCAGAGAGCAGGTTAGTTGTTTCCAGGATTAAAGTCCCAAGCAGGGCAGCATCGCACACTCTCCTTTTAGCATCTTCCTTTCCATTCAAGAGCAGCCAGAGGTCATGCATCCTCCCTTTTCTAAGGATGAATGAGCTGCAGGTGAGCTTTTGATGGCGCCCTTTTATCTGCCCACCTCAGAGCTGGCCCGGTGGGAAGCAGCGTATCGAGTCCATCCAACTTCACTTCCCACGGCTGCTCTAACGGCCCACTTTCTGTACTGCTTTAGTGTTTTGAACTCAGTAAAGACACTTAGATCAGGAGTAAGTTAGGAGTTGAGCAGCTGGACACTTGGGGCTTGGAAATTTGTGGTGAAGGGGAGGGGAGGGATTATAAAGAAGTAAAGATTCAGTCCTCCTCAAATAATGATATGGATAGACTAGATACAAAATGTATCATAGTTTAACTATGGTTGCACAGTAATATGTATGTAAATGCTGAAAGACAGTACTAACTGCTTCAGTCTTGGAACATGTACGTCCATGAACATCAGTTGCCAAGGTGAGTCAGTGCCTCGCATGAAAACCTTACTTAGAAAGAAATAAAAGGCTATCTCCATACAAAATAAAATGCTGTTCCTTTGAAAACAGTCTACCCTGGTTCATTTAAACAAGTAGACGCTCAAAGATATTACTGTGAATCAGCATAGCAGGCAGGTTGTTTTGCTATGTTAACTAAGCACATGAGAGTATCCTATACAATAAATAGGTAGTGTGCAAATTGACCCTCACACCCTCACAAGATGGCTCTCTAATGACCAGGTTGGCAGGGGGGTTAGTGAGGGACTGCCAAACAACTGAACAAGCAGGCTGCATGGGGCAACTAGGCCAGCAGGGGAGTTAGTGAGGAATGGCCAAACAACTGAACAGCAGGCTGTGTGGGGCAACCAGGCTGGTGGGGGGGTAGGGGGAGCAGTTGGGGGTGACCAGGTCGGTGGGGGTTTGGGACAGTTGGGGGCCTTTAGGCTGGCAGGAGAGGCAGTGAGGGGTGACTAGGTCAGTGGGGAAGCAGTTAGGACCAACCAGGCCTCATGGGGGCTACCTGACCGGCAGTTGGGAGCTACCTGACCGACAGGGGGTGATCAGGCCAGCATGCAGAGGCAGTGAGGGGTGATCATGTCAGCATGGGAAGAGCAGTTGGGGGGCCAATAGGCCGGCAGTGGGGGGCAATTAGGCTGGCACACAGAGGGGGGCAGTTAGGGACAACCAGGCAGGCAGGTAAGTAAGCGATGAGGAGTCAACGATCCAGGATTGTGAGAGGGATATCCCAACTGCCAGTTTAGGCACATTCCCCCACGGGGTTCCGGATTGAAGTGGATACACGGGTTGGGTTGAGGGGACTCTGTCCCCCTTGTGCATGAATTTCCTGCACCGGGCCTCTGGTAGGATAATAAAAAGCTGTAAATCATAGTACTTCAGGATTTATGTCCACACCAAAGGTGAGCTATGCAAGTTACTGTATTTTGTTCCTGTATTTAGTGACTATAACTTGAAATCACTTTAAACCAAAGCCTTATTAAAAATGGGTACTAGTAAAAAATGTCTAGATTTTTAAAATATCAGATATTGTTAGTCAAGCTGAACTGGTACCCATAAAAATACTAGTATGAGTCATCAATAAGAGGCAAAGCTTGCTCATTCTATGTAATCTTGGAGACCAGTGGAAAGTCCAGCTGCAATTGTGTGTAAACACCCCATGTAGTAGCCTGTGTTAATTCTCATGCAAGTCTTGGACAACGTGAACCTTGCACTCAAGAGATTAAACATTTACCAAGAAGGAGAGTCTGTTTGCTAGTAAATATTTTAGGTGGGGACTTCATTCCTTCAGACACACCTAAACAGAACATTCCTGTGGGAGAGACACACAGCATACAACCCCTTGTCAACTAAGGTTATGGCTCCCAACGCTGAGTGGAGAAATAAGGCCATCAGTTAGGTAATTTAAATCAAAATATGTTTTGTAATAATTGTGCAGGTATTTCTGAAATAACGAATGTATTCCTATTCAGGTATTTGCTTTGTTTGAATACAAATATGCAGATATGGGAATACTGATGATTTGTACCTAAGAGTTCTTAGAGTGATGAGCATATTACACCCTAAAAAACACTTTTATGCCTTGGCCTGTGTTGCTGCTCTGTTATTAAAGTGTCTGCCACACTGGTCAAGGGCACATACTTGGGTGGTCACAGATTCCTAGTTAGGTGCATGTTGGAGGCAACCAGTTGATGCCTCTTTTTCTCTCTCTTTTTTTCTCTCTCTCTCCCTCCATCCTTCTCTTCCACTTTCCCAAAAATCAATGGAAAAAAATATCCTCCAGTGAGGAGACACACACACACACACACACACACACACACACACACACACACACGTAGAAAAAACCCCACCACTTTTATAGGGAAATCTATGTACAAATTGTATGTGTGCAGAGTGATGGAAAGTTGAACCCAGTCCAAGTTTTGAATCCTACTGCATTATCTGGAACGTGCCATACATTTTGGATTCTTTTCTGTTCCGTCTTTTGGAGATTATGTTGAAAGGTGACACTACAAGAGACAGATTTTAAATAGTTACATTTTAAGTCCCAGGGCCTTTGTTGTTTGTTTTTGAGCTAGTAGAGCTTTGCAAATATTTGTTGTTGATCACCTCTCTGAGGCTGGGTGTGCGTTAGTGTGATACAGTGGTAAAGGGACTTCACCCTGAGCCAGAAATCATCTAGCGATATTGACAGAAGCCTGGAGTGATCAGGGATGCTTGCTCAGAGGTTGTGAAGTGAAAGGCATTTTTTTAAGGGAAGAGTTGGAAAATTTTCCTTCATTTTCTATGTTAGAGAAATTACTGTGGGAAAATGCTAAATCTTATGCCACATAATTCCGTTCACTGTGAGGATGCATCTGTGAGGTACAACGGAAAGGTGTTTGTTTGATCCAGTTTTCCAAGTTATAAATTAGGAATATATTCTAGGACAGGAAGCATGGCAGTTTGCTTTGTGTGTTTTTAAAAGATTTATAGCATAAAAAACGCTTTTTGTTTCAGGTTAAAACAAAACAAAACTGCTATATTTATAAGCCCAGGAAATATACTTAAAAGATCATAAGTGAATTTAGCTAAAAGAGAGCCTATTGTATTCAATTTAAGCTAATAAAATGCAACTATCAGCTACTAAGCTATTAAATTATTAAAAAGCTTCTGTAAAGATTTTCTTCAAAATTTAGTTATGAGCTACACATTCTCACCCATCCTGATTACTACTCATCATTGTCTGACACTATTGTGATGCATTAGATTGGGACTGGCCATGGAGCTCTTCTTAGGCAATTTTTTGGGGGAAAGTTTGCAACCCAGAAACAATGACCATTACTAACCACGACTGAAGTCTTTAAAAAGAGACCTGTGATTTTTATTAAATTCTAGGGAACATATTACCTTCTCAGAGGCTGAATCAAAAGAAAATGCATCAGTTATTACAGATCCTCATTACAACCCACTTGCAGTTGTCGGTTATATAAATCAGGAAGTCCTCTCACAGTGGAACCTTCCCAAATGCCTAGGTTGTTTAGACAAATAACATTTTCTTCTGAACTCTGCAGAGGAAGCGTGTTTTATTTTTAACGACTCTCAGCTGGATAATTGAAATATTGTTTTCCATTTCTTTACCACCCTTCTTTTTGCACCCACACAGAAACCACCCGCAAGCCAGGACTGGAACAGCTGGGGAGGTTGTGTGCTTCAGGTGGAGCTCTTCTCTTAAAAAAAACAGGCCACTTACGAGGTGTTTTCATTATATTAGCTCTGTATTTTAAAGAAAATAACTTGATTTAATTTGAAGTCCACAGGCTCAGATTTTTTCATGTCCGGCTCTGAGAAAACAATATGAATTTTATGCCACTAGCCACATGTCTCAAAGGAAAAAACTGACTTAATTTCCTAACATGCAGTATTCCCCTGAAACCCATTTTTTATTTTTATTTTTGCGATTTGTTCTGGTGAACAAAAAATAGTTTGGTCTTTTCCATAGAGAACTCAGTCTCTTATCTCCTTCAGCAAATGCTATGCTCCCTGAGGTTAAAAAGTTTCTCTCCCATTTCTATTCCTGCATAATACTTCAGCGCTTTGCTTGTAGCAGAGGCTTAGTAAGTAGTTGTTGAATAAAAAAGGTCTCCCTGGAAAACCTAGGGAACCTTTATATAGAAATAAAGCACCTTAATGTACATAAAAATTCCAGGTAGACCAGGCCTACGTGTGTGAGTGGGAAGATGAGGAAAGGCCACTCTGAGGAAGAGGTTGTTTCAGTCGGTCATGGAGAAGTGGTCCGTGAAGAGGGAATAAGAACTTTCCAGACACAGGGAGAGATGAATGTAGGCTTTGAGGAGGAAAGGAGAAAGCCAAGGGGAAAATGGCATGTGTGAGCAGGTATACAGGACCTAATAGGCCAAGTTAGGGATGTACAATTTTAACCTAAAGGCAAGTAGAAGAAGACATTGCTGGGCATTCATCAGAGAAGTGACATTGTATTTGCATTTTAAAAAGGTTAATCTGATCTTCTGTGGAAGACTTAAGAATGCTGTTCCAGAGGAGCTTTCCTTAAAATGTTTCACTTGGCTATTTCTTTGTGTTTGTGCTTTGGGTAGTCTGACTTTATAATGTAACTTATGGATGCTTGTGTTGGTTTTAATGCACTTGCATTGAACAACAGAATCACAGTTGGAGTACATCTCTTTATTGATGTATGAATAGAATGGCCTTAGTAAAACTGAAATTTTGTGATTGGCTTGTAATGTCAAGCCTAAGCCATGACATATTCTTGACCCTTTTTGTCATAATTTTTGGCATAGTAACAGGAATGTGCCTTTATTGCCTATTGGTCAACATCAAACACCAAAAAGATGAAGTGGTGGCCTGTGTGGTGCCAGGTGAACTTTTGTCAGTAATGTCCTAGTTTGCTTAAAGGAATTTCTCCACACGTGTGGAAGATCATGTAAATTCAGCATCTGATTTGAAAATAGCTTTGGAAGCTGGTGTTAGGTCACAGTGGAAGTGTTTTTACCATTGGCCTGGAATTTATATCTTGCTATTTGGGAACTGTGTTTCTTATGGGCTAATTCTCATACTTTGTGTACAGGTGGGCATGAGGAGTGACTCAGGTTATTGTTTTTTGTTTGTTTTGTTTTGTTTCTTTTGAATTATTAGAAAGTACTACTTCTGGTTAGTATCTTAAGACACAGGTGAATCAATTTTCTAAAGTCACACCAGTAGGAGAAACCTGTTCGCCTGGCTCCTCGGTCCTGAACTTGGAGCTTACTTGTTCATTCATTCAATAAAGCTGTATCAAGTACCTGTGATTTGTCAGAAACCATTTTGGGTACTGACACATTCGTGTGCAGAACAGGGCGGGGGGAGAAGAGAGAGGAGGAATCCCCACCCTAATGGGTTTGCATTTGTTCAAGGAGTTAGATGATAAAATATTTTAAGTTTATTATATGCTAAGTTAGGTTGTGATAAATATTTATAGATAAACAAAAAGAAGGGACATTTAAAATTTTTTTTGAGTATTTCTTCCATATACATATGTCATTTTAAGATAGTGGTATTAGTACAAAGTGCTTATAATTAGAACATTGATTTATCCTTTATTCCCTGTATAATCAATCAAATTTACTTGACCATGTAAACATTGACCCTTTTTCTGTATAGAAACCATTTGATATAAAAGACATAAAAATGGCCAATACTTCTCAGGCCTGCTGGCTGTGACACCCCTAGATTTTTTTCCTGAAGTCTTTAAGATATTGAAGCATTTATCTGGTTCTGTATTTAACCACTGCTTCCCTCTGCTCCAGACCACTACACTTCTTCCTTTGCTTGGGCATAGTTAGCCTGATTATTCGCTTGAACATTCATTGTCTTGATTTGTGCAATATTAAAGAAAGCTAAAGTGTAATATCCTCTTAGCTGGAGCACAACGATTGAAACCCAGAGCGTAATTATAGAGAGCTTTGCCATGTAGTGTAAAGTTTTATGCGCATGCTCTCGGGAGACTCTCAAGGCTTTTGATTGGAGTTGCTCTTTAGGAGGTTTATTCTGGCATCAGTATGTGTGACGAATAACAGCGCTGAAATGTTTGCCAGTTCAGAGTGAGTTAGAAATTGCCTTCATCACCACATACTTTATGAAACAAGAGAGAACATTTTAAAATGTGAATGAAATAATAAAAATACAGTTTCACTTTTGACATAAAATGTTTGGACCAGAAAGGCAATAATAGTCCTGGAAACTGTGTCTGAAATAAGTGAGTTAGGATGCAGGACATGGATACCAGGGGTTAATGGAAAGCTTATTGGCCAAAGGCAAGGGCCAGCATATGAGCAATGAAGAGAGACTAAGGGATGAGAGGCCAAATATAGAGGGAGAAGGTGGGAGGAAGCAAGAGTTGAATAATAGGCCTAAAAAAAGAAAAAGAGGAGCTTGCCTTGGATAGTTATCTAGGAATATGTGCCTGCAAGAAAAAGGCTAATTCCAAGTAATTTCTCTGTTAAATATAAAATTCAGGATAGCTGTTGTGGGCTATGGAGAGAACTTCAGGGTTATTCTTGATTCTCCTTGATTCTTGAGACTCAGATAATATGTTATTTCCTCCATTACCACAAGGGTCGATTGTACTACTTCTGCCATTGAAAGCACACATGACTTTCAAGCAAGGTGGTAGAGATGATCCTTACAAACTTTATTAAAATACATACTGTTTTCTGCCTGGCCAGTGTGACTCAGCGGTTGAGCGTTGACCTATGAACCAGGAGGTCCTAGTGTGATTCCCTGTCAGGGCAGATGCCCAGGTTACAGGTTCAATCCCTAGTGGGGTTGGGGGGTGTGTTCAGGATGCAGCGGAGCAGTGGTTATCCCTCATCATTGATGTTTCTGTCTCTTCCTTCCTTGTCCTTTCTGAAATAAATACAAATATATTAAATATATATATATATATATATATATATATATATATATATACACACTGTTTTCTTTTTAAATGTAGTTTGAATTCTTATTTATACAAAGCATACATTCCTTCCTTTCCTCCTCCCAAACTGCCTACAATCAGAATCAAGTATGAGAATCTTAAAAATACGATTCCTAGGCCCCATCCTCAGACCTGAACTGAGGTGGGATCCATTGGGTTGAGACCTTAGTAGCCTGTAATTTCATGGATATTATTGGTGTCTGATGCAGCTTGTGAGAAACCACTACTCTAAACAATATACTTGTGGTTTATACCGAAGTAGACACATTGGGGAGGCCATTTATTGCCACGTTATTTTTTCACAGCCTGCAAAGAGGTTTTGGTTTATGTAGAACAAGTTGATATATACCCTGATTATGAGAGATGGTATTAATGGGCCAGTGAAGGTGCAGCACAAATCTGCCAGGGATGAAAAAAAAAAAAAAAAAAAAAACAATTGTTAAAATCACATACTAGTGTAAGGTGTGACTTAGTTCATGCTGGTATAGACTTTGGAGTCTCTAGAATTCTCTACCAATAATGAGTATCTTCTGAGTACAAAGAACTTTATGGGTAATTTAGAACATGCAAAAATGAGTAAAGTATTTTTGTATCCTTATTAGGCTTATAAAATACAAGGGAGTAACAAAGGAGCTTTATGATACAATCACTGTAATACTAAGGAGAATGTGATGAGTGCTGTAGCATAGTAAGACCAAAAATGCTATGAGAACACCAATGCTGGAGAAGGAACTTCCTGCTGGGATCAGAAGATGCTCTCACAGAAGGGGTTGGTTATTCATGCTGATTCCTAATGGTTATGAAGGAAGGATAACCCATTACTTGGTGTTAAGAGCCCATTTATCAGTATACATGTGGCCTGAGTACTTCAACAGAATTATGGGTTAAGATTTGAGACATGTGCCGAAACCGGTTTGGCTCAGTGGTAGAGAGTCGGCCTGCGGACTGAAAGGTCCCAGGTTGGATTCCGGTCAAGGGCATGTACCTGAGTTGCAGGCACATCTCCAGTAGGCGGTGTGCAAGAGGCAGCTGGTCGATGTTTCTCTCTCATTGATGTTTCTGTCTCTCTATAACTCTCCCTTCCTCTCTGTGAAAAATCAATAAAATATATTAAAAAAAAAAAAAGACTTGAGACATGTTAAGTTTCGAGATGCAGATAAAGCCCCTTGTAGAAATTCGAAGGAGGTGACTGTATTTGTTAAATTAAGAATAGTGAGTTGGGGAGGTAGGATTATGCCTGAAGTAGTGGGAAAGTGTTTTCATTTCAGGTGACTTTATTTGGGTTCAAAGAGTAGCTCTGCAAATCATTAGCTCTATGACCTCACGTCTTGTTTATTCTCTGTATTTCAGTTTCATTATTTAAAAAATAGGAGAATGGTGAGAGGAGATTTGGGTGTTTGACTTGTGACCCCCTTGTGGTGTATTGTGAAGATTAAGAAGCTGTGCACAGCGCTGCATGTATCAGTGAACCTCCTTTCCCCACCCATGTCTTCCTGCCCTTCCTTTATGGCAAATGAGTTCACTGGAATAAGACTGAGGGGAAGGACAAATAGCTTGTGAGAAGAGAAAAGTGATGATAGAAACTAAAGGGAGAGAAACAGAAAAATGTAGCTGAAGATGGGAGAGGGTGAGATTAGAAGCTTCACAGCACTTCGTTAGCTTTGAGAGGAAGAGGGCCCCTTTCCCGAGACAGGCAAGTTTGAAGAGGATGAACAGAGACA